TTGTGTGCCAAGTGCTCTAAGCCACTGTGCCACCTTCCCAGCTCTTTGATTTATTTGTGTCTATATATATGTTTAAGAGCAGGCATGTGTAAGTTGGTTCTTGCTTTTCACCATTTTTGTTTGTTTGTTTCTTTGGTTCATTTTTTGTTTTGTTTTTTAATGTACTGTTGTTTGAGACAGGTCTCACAATGTAGCCCTTACTGCTCTGGAACTTGCTATGTAGCCCAGGCTGCCCTCAAACCGATAGAAAGCTGCCTGCTGCTGCCTCTCAAGTGCTGGGGGGGTAAGCTCTACCTCCCAAGTGCTAGGATTTAGGGCATATGCACCACAGCCAACCCCCAGTTCGTTTTTGGCAAAGGACCTCTCTCCTGTTTCTACCACTGTGCTGTGTACTCCAGGCTAGCCCACCCATGAGCTTCCCAGAGGTTCTCCAGTACCTGCCTCCCATCTTGCCATCAAAATACTGGGGTTACATTATCCAGATTTCAGTTCCAGTCCTGGGGATCAAATTCGATTTACCCAGCTTAGAAAGCTAGTGCTTTTTACCAGGAAGCCATCTTTTGTGACGCCCCTCCTCTACCACTTTTCTTATTTTTGAAACAGGGTCTTGTGTACCAAGCTGTCCTTGAACTTACACAGCCACAGACAGCCTTGAACTTCTGAGTGCTGGGCTAACACACGTGCACCACCATGGCCAACGTATGCAGTACTGAGAACCAAACCCAAGGCGTCACACTTGCCAGGTAAAAGCTTTCTCTTCCCCTTCCTCTTCCAGCAACTATGAAGTCACCACAATTGAGATCATTAAGGAATGAGCTGAAGGCTCTCTTGCTGGTTCCCAGGGATTGGTGCTAGGATCTGCCCCCTTTGCTCGCTTGTTTGTTTACTTTCTGGGAGGAGTGGATGATTAACTGTTCACTCGTCCTCCCTTTCCCAGCCAAAGCCGTGTTGAAAAGTCAATTCCATCACCTTCAATTGCTACAGCACCTTTCCTCATCTGGGAGGAAATTAGGCAAGGAACCTATCGCATGGCCTGGGTCTAGTTCTGAAAGGAAGCACAGGGCTGTTCCCACAGCAGCTCTGGCAAGGATGGTGTAGGACCTGCTTCCACAGAATCACAAAACAACAGCAGAAGGTACCAAAGAAATCGAACAGCACCACTCCTGCTTAAAAGACAAGAGGAATAGCAGGCTATTGAGAAAAGGATGAGGAGGTGGACCCAAAATCTCTACTTTCATGCTCACAGTTCTCGTTCTCTGACACAGAGGCCCTCCAGGCTCTGAGCTGCTGGGCTCCATTTATCCTTCTCTCAGTCTACCCACTTCTCCACCCATGACCCACTCGCCTATCCATTCACCCATCACCTCTCATCCATCTGTGCCATCTGACCTTTCCGCTCAGTCAGCACTGTGCTAAGTGCCGGGGAAGAAGAGCAAGGCTTCTGAGGTCCTTGGCCATTTGGAGTTCTCCAAATGAGCCAGCGCTGAGTCCCAGCCTAGTTTTCCTAAGATCAACCACAGTGTCTAGTTCAGGGTAGGTATAATACATGCTTGCTGAGTGAACGGTGGAGTCCTCATTTTTGCTAATGCTTCAGTGTTTATTGACTAATATACTGGGTCGTTTTTTAAGATATTAATCTTAATCTGCATTTGGATTATGTGTTTCAAAAACACTTTTCATCGTCATTTGTTACCAGCAGACAGGATGGCGCTATGCAGACATAGACCACTAGGTATGGAGTCTAAAGGGCCAAGTTCATATACTAGCAGTGATCTGGCTCCTCCCCAGCAGCTAATGAATGACACTTGACCCTTCGTTTTCTCAATTATAAGATGGGGAAATATTTGACTTGCTAGTTCACTCAGCTGGTGTGCATAGAAAAGGAGAGAAACTTCTGGAGAGTATATTATGAATAAAAGTAAAATGAAAGAATAAAACTTTTAGAAATTCCAGATGTAATGGCACACACTTGTGAATTTAAGCCATCACAGGGCTGAGGCAGGAGGATTGAGTTCAGTGTCAGTTTATGCTACAACACACACTCACACACACACACACACACACACACACACACACACACACACACACAAACACACCATTCCAGGACTTACAGAAAGTAGGATTTTGTGATGTTGCTACCTACTCAAGTGTCAGACATGTAAAAGACGCAAGAGAAAATAAAAGCCAGTGACCCACTCATGGCAACGTTCTCCCAGCCAGCTGGGTGCAGTTGTTCCTGATCTGTTCTAAGGAGATTAAATGTATGTGTCTGCAGTATCACTTGCCAGCCTGGTCAATCGTGACCCATATTTCTCTCCATCTGATACATGTAACAACAGCACAAAGGGGTGTTGTAACCTTAATTGCTTGCAGTGTTTTGAAATCTTCAGATTAAAGCTAGGGAAGTCCAAAGTATTCTCTCTGTGTGTGCCCAAGAAGTTGCACCACGCCAGCCTGGGTTCAGTGGAGCACGGAAGCATTGTGGCACCCGTTCTGTGGTTCTCCGGGAACGCCAGGGTCGAAGGTCTCATTTGTGGAAAAGGCCAGGATCTCTCCTAGTTTCGTTTTTGGTTTTGTGGATCTTGACTTTGGGAGGTTGGATTCAGGGTCTCGTGTAGCGCAGGCTGGCCTTGGACTTGCTGTGTAGCTGAAGCTGGCCTTGGATCTCTGATCCTCCTGCCTCAGCCTCCCAAGTGCTGGGAGCACAGGCATGCATTGCCACACTTGGCCCGCCTTCAGCCATTTGCTCGTATCCCACAGCCTTCTGACTTTTTGTGCTCTCTCTGTTCTCCGGCTCCTGAGCCGCGTGGCCCTTGGCCTGTGCTGCAATGTCTCTGATACCATATGTCTGCTCTTCCAAGGTACCCCTAGATGAATGTTAGCGAAGGACAAGAGTGTCACCTGGCACTTCTGCCGAATTTTTCGTGTGGGCCCAGAGCTGGCAGCTGGCTTCCTGGTTATGTTTAGTTAGAGTTTTATCTCACCAGAAAATCAGTCTCTCCAGGGCTATCCAATCCCAAGTGGTCAGTCCTAACGATACACACAGAGGAGCAATGCTATTGGGAGTCATCAGGTTGTTTACAGGCACATATGTAAACAACAGTTAAAGAAAAGGTCATGAAGAGTGAGGTGGACAGGAGAGGAACTGAGGGCAAAGAGGGATAGAAATGGTGTAAATACAGCAGTCACGTATAAAATTCTTTAAAATATTTTTATTAAAAAAAATGTATATCAAGAGCCAGACATGGTAGCTCACACTGTAATCCCAGCACTTGGAAGGCTGAGGCAGGACTGAGCTGAAGAGCAGCCTGGGCTACAACAGCAGTACCCTGTCACAAACAAGCAAATACTTCAAACAAACAAACAAACAAACACAAAACAGTGTATCCCATAGTGGTTGCTTTGGGAACCAGTGCCAGGTAGCGATGGATGGAGCCTGAGAGAACTGAGCTCTAGACCTTTGTCTTTATGAGAATATTCACTGTACATGGGGTATGGTGGCTTGGGTTACTGCAGTGTATGGAGGTCAGAGGACAACTTCATAGTCAGCTCCCTTCTCTCACCAGGTGGGTTCTGGGAATAGAACTACGGTTGTCAGGCTTGGTGGCAGGCATCTATAACCAAATAGCCATTTCTTTGCTTTTAAAAATGTGTATTTACTAACCTTCATACTTGACTTACATACTCTTTGACCGTATTCACTTCCCACACCTTTCCCTGACTCTTCCTAGATTGAACCCTCAAGGTTCTCTCAATGCCTTCCCAACTTCCTTTTTTTTTTTTTTTTAATTCATTTTATGTCCTGGTCATAGGCCCTTCCTTCTCCTCTCCTGCTCTCCTCCCCTTCCTTCCCTGTCTCCCCTATTCTCCCTCCTCCACTCCTCAAAGAAGGGGAGCCCTTCCCATACCGACCTACCCCAGTGTATCAAGTCACATCAGGACTGAGCGCATCCTCTTCTCCAGTGGCCTGGCCAGGTAGTCCCACCAGGGGAAAGTGATTAAAAAGCATTCAACAGAGTCCATGTCAGACACAGCCCCCATTCCCCTCACTAGGGAACCCATATGAGGACTGAGCTGTCCATCAGCTACTGTTAAAGCCCAGATTCCAGTGTGTGCTGTCCAAGGGGATGGGGCCAAGAGCCTCAGCTTGGGGTGGTGCAAGTCCCTCCCAACTCCTTGCTCATAGTTTCAATCAGTCTAATTTGCTTTGTTTAAAAGAGATTCTGAAGACATAGCGAAGCTAGAACCCTAATTCAGTCAAGTCAGGTTGCTTCCTTCTGTAACAAGGTCGATGTTTTCTAATCAGTTTCTCCTTGTTTTAATATTTAAACTTACAGAAGTGGTAGAGATGCAAAGAAATGTCATCAGCCATCTTACTATAATTCGGTGGGGCAGAATTATACGATCTATCGAGGTAAATAAAGGTAGGACAAATATTAATTTTTTCTGGGGTATCCATAGCTTTTCTCAAATTCTCCATTTCACTAACCTTAAGCCTCAAAAACCAGAGAATTCTTTTTGTTGCTTTTGACACATTCTTGCTATACAGCCCAAGCTGGTCTTGAACTCTTGACGTGTCTGTCTCAGCTTCCAACGTTAAGCCAAGAGGTGTGAATCATTCATATCTGTCAAAAGCCAGCCAATTCAACACAAACATCCATGTTTTTCTCCCCTCCCATATTTCCCACCCAGACCACAACACCCACCAACCTCTTTCTGCAAATGAACCCTGCCCATTAAAGTATGCTCACTGACACACACAAAAAAAGCAGATTCCAGGAGAGCATAATAGTTCATGCCTTTAATCCCAGAGGCACAAGGATCTGAGTTCAAGGCCAACCAGGACTGCACAGTGAGATCCTGTCAAGAGAAAACAAAAACAAAACAAAAAACCCCACAGCAAACACTCTCTGTGTGACCCACCTGTCCTCTGACACACTAACGCCTTGGCCAGGAACAGTTACAGGAAGGCAAACTGCATGCAAAGGAAACTCACAATATTTCTTTACGAAACCAGATTTATTAAAAGTTCTCTACAAGTCAGCAACCGTGTGCCACGATCACCTTTCCACACGCGCACAGGAGACCTAGTGTTGCCAGCCGTCCAGGCCAATGCCCGGGCCAGCTCCAGTCCTCAGCCAGGGAAATGTATCATAGATACAAGAGCCGGGCACCCCAACAGAGGTCTGTCCCTGCTCCTCCCCAAGTCCCACCATGCTGCCAAGGTCGTATTGCCAACAGTCATTCACATTTCACATGGCTCTGGACACACAGGTTCCTCAGACAGACACAGACGACAAAACAAGCCTCAGAGCCAAACGACAACAATTGGACATATGTATAAAAGGTAAAATGTATGTACAAATATAAAGCACACAGTACGTGAGGTATACAGTGCATTCTCACAACGTTAGTAGTCTGCCTAGGCATAGCCCTTGAAGATGCCTGCCCGCTTCTGTGCCATTTCTCAAAACACAGTATTTTCATTACCCGTTTAACCACCTGGTTTCAGCACTGTCCCAGACAGTGACTGCTATTTCATCTGTTTTTGTTTGTTTGTTTTTTAATGCAACGTCTCTCTGAAACAGTTTCTCTAAAAAGCTTCATTTCTTATAGGGAGTAAGTTTCCGAATCCAGAAGCATTCAGGCAGAGGCTGGGTCCCTGCCTGTGGAAGCTGAAGCAGGGGAATTCTGGTAGGCAGCTAAAAGAGAGAATGTGCACGGGGTGAGCTTCACCATCCTTTCCAGCTACATTTTCGAGGTTCTCTCTGTCACTCCAGAGCCAGCTTCGAAAAGGGATTCATAAGCCATACAAGACGTGAACTCCAAAGAGCCCATCATGGGAAAGCGGAGACCCTGAATGCCAGAGACAGCATACCCATGGCAGGGCGGTGTCCGGTTTCATCCTGGGAATTAGTCTGAGAATCTTGCAAGACTGTCTCAGATTCACTTTCCTTGAAACACAAAGATGGTTCGCATATGCTCCTGAGGGAGCAAGTTGGAGAGTCTCCTCACCCTTGTCCTCATACACAAAATGTTCCACCTCGAGATGGTTGTGGGGGTGGGGCTGGGTGAAGGCTAAATGCTGCCGTATTCAAGGAGAGCCTTGAGAGCTAACAGACACCACATGACTGAATTAATTTTTTTAAAAGCATTGCTGTCTGACTGAGCTCAAGAGTTCTGAAACAGCCAAGAATTTGAATCTCCCAATAGTTTTCCACAGCTGGCTGGTGAGTGCTTTCCTAGCCGTAGGGGACAGGTTCCAAGGTGGGGACGGGGAGACATTATTGCATAGGAGGTAAGCTCCAGGGAAAGAGTCTGGGTTCAGGCAGGCTCCGGAGCTTCTCAGTCAGTCTGCTCCAACACCGGAACACAGTCATGGGTTGTGTGTACAGCAAGAGTGAGGGTTACAGGAAAGAAAAGAAACTTCCGGCCAGAGAAACTGCAGCAGCAAGTGGAGCCTTCAAAGACAAGTTCAAAGATGGCAGGTCTGTCGCCCCAACCCATTGCCACCTTGCTAAAAATGCCACTGTGCGTCGTGCTTCCTTTCCCACTCAAGTGTTCAAGTTTGCTACACCTGCCCAGGTGAGACGCCCATACCCTTCCATCAGCTTCAAAACGTGGGCACCCTCATATGCGACACTGGGACAGTCATGACAGCTCATCGAGAAGGGGACGCCTCCGAAGAGCAGCGAATCTGAGGGTGTGCTACTCAAGTCAAATCACTCAGCCCAGAGAGGTGTCACCACACCGAGACCCACAGGGACAATTGTGCTCTGACCCCAAATCTGGCTGGCACCATGTAAGAAGGCCTGCCTATCATTAGAAATGGAAATGCCATGTGTGAGAATTATGAGGTTTCTGAGGTTTTGGGGGGGTAGGATATGGAGGGATTAGCAGAAGAAGGAACTAATGTCACTGTCCTCCTGGTACTCGGGAACAATCTGGTCTGAAGTTCCTATTTCTGAGTCAACATAGCCCGGTTCCAAGACATATTCGAACCAGGGATGGAGTAAAATCTCAGGAGCTGTGAGTCTCTCGGAAGGTTCTCGTCTCAGGAGGCTGCGGATGAGGCACCTGGCTTTGGGGGAAACGTGCTCAGGAATGCAGAACTGTCCACGGCGGATTTTGGAGAAAAGGGCACTCGGGTCTGAGTCATGAAAGGGGTATCGTCCAACCAAGAGAGTGTAGAGCATCACCCCAAGGCTCCAAACGTCTGCAGCCTTTCCGGAGTAGGTCCCAGTAGTGTTGAGGATCTCGGGGCTCACATAGGCTGGGCAGCCATGTTTGTCTGATAGCGCATCATCTTCTCCCTTGATTATGTGTGTATCTTCCAGGCTTTCCAGTCTCAGCTGGGTTCTGTGGGAAAGAGAAACGGAGCTATTATTTTCAGACCAACTGCTACAGAAAAACAAGGCCTTCCCAATAACAGTGCCCACAGGCACTACCAGCCAAGGCCATAGGAATGTCATTTACCCCTTCATCTAGTAAGCAATGCCCTGCAAGCGCCCAGGACTAGTGATTTCACAAACCAATACAAACTGCAATAAATGTTTGCAAAGTATCGAGAGAGCACCCGGGGCGGAGGGTATGATGCAAAGTCTCAAACAATATTCATGATGCTAGAGCTTGTAAGAGATATCCTAATAGGGTTACACAACTGACAAAGTTCACATTGCAGAACTGGGAGCTGGTTTCAGGGGAAGACTGGTAATATTCTACAGCTGTTGTCAGGGAAGAGCTAGGGTATGTGCTCTCCTTTCTCACGTGGGGCCTGTGTATCTTGCAAGCCACAAGTCTCTTACCATGGCACTGACAGCCCAGGCCTATCGACACTACTGCCTACACCAAGAAAATGTTGTCCACCTACGTCCCGGCTGCAATCACCACAATGGGAACATTGCAAGAAATGTTTAATTACATCTATTGCACTGCTTCACCGCAAAGTATCCCTTAGGCCAGACAGAGGTGTTATGTGAAGAAAGGGAAGAGGCTGATGGACCTGAGGATGACAGGGTCCCCAAACACCTCTAGGATTGCAGATCAACGTGCATTGAGTATTTATCCTACGGGAGAGTCTCTTTTGGAGATCATCACTGTTAAAAAAAGTCATTGGAGAACGTGAACGGAAGCGCAGAAACCAAGAGTCAAATGGAAAGAAGCTTTAGTCTAGAAGACCTCTGAGCAAGGGAGCTCTTCTGAAGCTGCAGGTGGCTCCTTATGCAGCACCAGCCACCCACATCTCCTAGATTCCCCAGGGCCACGTGGGCCACCTCTGATATCCGCTGTCCGCTTCACTGAAGCAGACCCATTTCTGTAAGTCACTTGTTGTGAAGTCACACACAAGCATTTGGGCAATTCCTTTTCCTCTCAAAGGCCTGGTGGTTTTTTCTCTCCTCTCTCCTCCAGCCTTCCTGTTCCCCGGAGTGTAGTATACATGTGCTAACTTCAGGATGTCCTCGGCGTGACCTCCCTGTTATGTAAAATACCCATTGGTTCTGTAAACGGAAAATATGACTCAACCCACGGTGTCTGCCCCTGATTGGCTCCTGTAGTACTAAAACCCTGCACCTGTGCTGGTTACATGAATAGCGTCAGCCTGTCATTGCTTAACCCTCGGGTTACCAAACTCAATGCCCATGACACTGCCTGTGCAATGCAGGTTTCCAAAGCCAGTGAGGAGGTGTGTAGCACATGTTTCAAAAAAAGGCATCACGATTATCAAAGAAGCATACACATTCCAGGAACTGGACACTTCTTCACTGCGAACAGTTTGCTTCTCTTTGCTAATCGGCATGTTTCAATAGTTAGCGCAAGCTCAGATACAGACACGTACGTTGAGGACTTCTGTACTTTTTTTTTTAGGGGGCCCTGGAGTTAAAGGTAAAAGTACTCAGGTAGCGTTTAAGTCCTGTGTAAGTGTATTCAAGAAAGTTTAATTCACACCCACAGCGCTACAGAGATCAGCCTGCATCTTCCCATCACCGTGGTCAGTCTGTCTACAGAATGAAGTGTGGTGTATCTCATGCAGCTTCCTGAAGCTCTTGGTGAAACCTCCACTCTGAATCTTAATGTCTCCTTATTCCCTTATCAAGCACATCTTGTCCTTTATGAGGTAAGCCAAGAACTATATTTAGCACTGCATGCTAGCCAACTTCCATTTATTATTCACTGTGGTTATTTTCTGAAGATGGAGCCGAAGAGACGTTTAAAAACTCAACAGAGAATGAGAACAAACTACTGCAGCCCGGAGGAGAGTGCCTAGGGAGGAATGCAGTGTGAGAGGGACAGCTGAAATTCTGCAAATAGGACAGCCTAGCTAGCTGTCACGCCTTCTAGGTACAGCAAAGTCACTTGATGGAAGCAAGGATCTGACCACCTCTTGGAGGTAGCGCTGTCAAGGGCAGGTGAACACATCTTTTCTCCAAAAGACTGACCTTTCTGACAAGAGTACAATAAGCCTGAGCCTGGGACAGAAGCAGGAAGGGCATCTGATCAACAGGTAGCAGCCACAAAAGCACCAAAGTACCGCTAGCCTTCCCTACATTCCACCCAATAGAGCAGGAAATGAACCGAGCTTGGCCATGACTCTTCAGACACAGGGTAATTAATACGAAGCCAGAGAAGACCCGAGCCCTTGAGTTTCTCTTACACCTAACTGCATGTCCTGTACTTTCAGGGTTTTTTGGTTTTTTGTTTGTTTGTTTGTTTGTTTGTTTTTGGTTCCCAAAGGCCACAGGAGGTGCTGTGGCAGCTGCTCACCTCTCCTCCGTGGAGAAGACGAACTTCCTAAGCTTCAGGTCCCCTAGCACGATGGCCGACTGGTGGCAGTGGGCCACAGCCGAGACAATCTGTTTGAAGAGCCTAGCGGCCTCCTCCTCCCGCAGCCTTTTCCGGCTTCGCACGTAGGAGTGCATGTCCCCAAAGTCCTTCTCAAAGAAGACGTAGGCCTTGCTCTCCCCGAGGATCACTTCCACGACGCCAGTGATGTTTCTGTGTGATGGCAACTGGATGTAAGGCCTGATTTTGTCCTGGTAGTGTTTAATGGGAAACACCTGCGGAGAGAACGTGACCTGATTAGGGGGGCTGTCTCCCAGGTCCGATACGAAGCTGGATTGCCCTTTCAAATGGCAACATTCCATTCATAGATTATTCCATTCGTGTAGCATCCCATTCATATATTCCATCCTCTCTACCACTTAGGCAGCTCCAGATGCTATGATACCCCCTAAAGCCAGCCACACCTTGGGACCTGAGCTAGCAAACTCCCAAAGCCTACCCCCTCCCATAGGATGATTGGGAAAACCACGCTGTGCATGCATCTGCTTTTGTCTTTTAGGGGGCCAGCAGCTCCCTGATGTGGCTCCTCCTAACAGATAGGAAATGGCTATAGCGGGATGCTTCTCACCCAAGCAGCCCTAAGGGTGGAAAGCAACAGCTAAACATGCATGTGTCTCCTTACAAACCCAGAAGACTCAGCACAGTCAAGGAATGTGGTGACTTTGCAGCCTCCCCGGGGAAGCAGAGGCAGCAAACATGCAGAGCTGTCATTAGTCAGAAGGAACGGATGACTTGGAAGGAGAGACTGACAAGGCAGCCTTAAGCAGCCTGCCTATGGCTGTGACTCACGTGGAAGCAGCCTGGAGTTACCTCCTTACCGGAGGGAATGGGCACCTCTAAACTTTTTTTTTTTTTCATGTTTGTTTACACCTCCCCAGCCTGGTGTGTCCCACCCCCAGAATGGCCTCTAAGAAGCTGGCTGGTCTCTTTAAGGGCCTTTTGTTCAGTCCGGTTACTCATATCCTAGACGCAACTGGAAATGGTGACACACGGGCTGTCACCATCTGGATTCAGCTATTATCTGCTCGGAGGAACTGGAAGGGGTTGCACAATGACCCAGACCCACCCCACCTCTGAGGTGGCTGCTCTGGTACCAACTGAAACACAAAAAGAAAAGAAAAGAAACCCCTCCGCTGGACTCTCCGCCCGCCCCAGCTACCCCACCACACGCGTTTCTCTCCCCAAACTGTTCTCATCCACCAAGAAGAAAAGAGTTTTTCTCTGGGCTTGACCACGCAGCTGAGATTTCACGCGGGTGGACAGTAGGTGGCAGCAGCAAGCGGGGAGGCTGGGGGCGGGGGGGGGGGGGTTCAGGTGAGTTGTTGAAAACCCAGGAACCACTTTAACTCCGGGAGAATGAAAGGAGTCGGTGGGGCTCTCAGTAGCTGGGGAGATGTGGGTGTCCGACTCACAAAGCGCAGACTGCGCAGCCGTCCTCGGCCACGCGCTATCCGGGAGAGCCGGCCCATCCCGTATCTTGTTGTACTCCTAATGTTGCACAGAAAATTGCCAGGCGCAAACTAAAGCGAGTGGAGGCGAGTCCCTGAACGCTTTCCAACGCTTTTTCTACGCTGGCCTGAAGCCCTTCCCAGGATTAAGACCCCCTCCCCGCCCCCCATCCCTGAGGTGCGCGGTAGTCTGGCCCCAGTTCAAGCCAGAATCCCCTAGGTAGGAGCCCGACTCCATCTACGCAGAGCCCGTGCCGCGAATCAAAGAGCTTGCCAGTTGCTCCAAGCCCACTGCAGGGTGACCTTCCAGGACAGCGGGAGGGGAGGGATGTGAGCAGGGCAAAGGCTTGGCCCTGGGATCCATTGCAATTCCAAACTTAAATGGAGCGCCACGCGCTAGCTACACTGGGCGCCAAAGAAAAGAACAGAGATAAAAGAACTGAACCCTGCACTTCCTCTAGACCGCCGAACCCTCACCGTAACACTCCACAGGAAACCCCTCAACCTCCAAAAAGGCAAAGCTGGCCAAAATATCTCCTTATCCGACTCAACGCCTTTAGCTGCTCTACCAAACTCAAGGGCTGGCGGGAGCGTGATCCGGGTGGGCTGGAACCTGGGCACTTTTGTGGACCACCCAGGCCCGCAACCCCGACCCCAAGGATGCTTACCTTGCAGCGCAGCTCGCGGCCAGTGTGGATGCACAGCGCCCGGGACACATGCTCGCGCTCAGCTAGGGGCAGCAGCAGGTAGTCGGCTATGCGGCTGGGCCCGGGTGCGCTCGCGCAGCTGCCGCCGGTGCCCTGCCCGGAGGGCGGAGGCTGAGGGCTGCAGGGCGAGCCGGGGGGACTGAGGTAGTCTGGGGGGTTCGAGCACTCAGAGAGGCGCGGACACTTGGCCGCCACGGCCGCCGCGTCGTCCGCGTCCAGCAGGCGTTTGGCCGGGGTGCCCCGGGCAGCCGGGAACAGTCCAACCGGACCCCGGGGCTGCGAGGCGCCGCTCAGTGCAAAACGCACGGGACCGACCCGCATCGCGGCCCTGGCCGGAGCGGCCCCGGCTTTGTAAATCCCTGGGTCCGCGCCGCGACTTCTTCCAGTCGGCGGGATGGAGTTTGCAGACCGCGCTCGGCTCGGCCCCCAAGCGGAGCACAACGGGAGCCGTTCCTGGACTCCGGAGCTGTACACGAGGACCGCGCTGGCCACGCGTCCGGGAGTGGGAAGCCGGCTGAGGTCCCCAGACCCCCGCGGGCACCAGGTCTGGGTGCCTTGCTGGCGGCGGCCACCGCTATTGTTACCGAGGCTGTGGAGAGTCCGGGACGTGGAGGCCCGAGTTCCCGGGTGCTGAGCCCACAGGACAGGATTCCGCAGGCTCGGAATTGCTCAGCAGAGCAAACGCACTTCCCAAACCAATTAGTCTTGAGTAAAAGCCGGCGCAACTTTTCCGCGCCGATCGGGATCCTGCGCGCTCCAGGGCTCCGGGCGTGTGAGCGAGCGAGACGCGCTCAGAGAGAGTGACTGAATAAGTGTGTGCGCCGCACTGATCCCGGCCAGTGCACTCCTTCTCCTTTTCCTCCACCTCCTCCGCCTCCCGGTGACTCACGCTGTATACACACACACACACTCACAGGCCGGGCTGTGTAAACAGTTGGGAAGCCGGGTTGTGCAATGAGGTGGCTGCGACGACTCCGGCCCCGTCGCCCGGCTTGCAGTCACCGGAGCGGAGGGAGGAGGCTGCGGGGGGTGGGGGGGAGGGGAGTTGAAGTTGGAGGATGGGACAGTGGGGGTGGCCGGAGGCCCGGGGATGCACCCTAGAGCGCGCGCCGGGGCGCAGGTAGGAACATCCTGGGCCGGCTTGGGCGCGCGCACACACGCCCCCCGGGCTGGGTTGGGCAGCAGGCTGCGCGCGCCCTACCGCAGGCCCGCCGGCTCCGCGCTCGTAGCCCGGGGAGGGGGCGGAGGAAAAGCTCCCGTGACGTCAGGGTCCCGGGGAAGTGGGCGGGAGGGGCGGGGCGGCGGGGGCGAAACGGCTGCTGATTGGTCCACACGCATCATTCACACAACACAATGGACCGCGAGTTCCCTGCTGGCGCGCTCACCTCCGGGCTCAGCACCGGCTTGCTGGCTGCGACCCAGCGGTCACGCCTTTCCCCCGGTGGGATCTCCCCGCCGCTCTGCGCTTGGGGAGCTCCCGGTGGAGCTGTGGGCGCCGCCGTGTCGCGGCGAGGAAAGGGGCGAGAGGAAAGGTGATGAATTCCTTTATCAGTCATTCACCCCCCACGCGGTAGTTCCGGGGAAGACCTGTGCGTGGTAGTGAGTGTGGCTTTTTTTTTCCTTTTCCTGCCCCCCTCCCTGCTCTAATCCCCAGCGTCTGTTCGCTTCCACAAATAGAACCTTCTGTTGGATGAAATAAAAGCAAACACTGGGCCTTCTGCTCTGCCTCCACCTCCACGCCCCTCCCGCGCCTGCCGCCCGCCCGGATTGCACGGAAATAGCTTCTCCAAGCTCCTGGGCCGCCCCTTCGCGGTGACTCGCAGAAAGAGCTTCCTGAGCTCCGGCCGGTGGGAAACAAAGGATGTGGGGAACTGGCGGAAGGGGCCCACGTGGCTGCCGCCAGATTCCTGTCCCCTCCCTCATTCGTATGCGCCGGAGGGTGTAGGGCGCCGATGTGGTCCGGGGTATTGGGGTACATGTCATTCTGTCCTCCGCCAGGAATACTGCCTGCCTGAAGACGTGTGTGTGCGTTCATGCTGAGTTGGGTGCTCTTGAAACTGGCTGACCATGCTCCCTAGAAACAGCTTGTAATCACATTTTGTGTTGGGTTTGTGGGTTTGTTTTTTTTTTTTTTTTTCTTTTTCTTTTTCTCAAACCAGGTCAGTTTGGAGTCCCTAGATTCTCACTCAGCGTAGATACCTATTATCAAAGTCCTTTCGTGCATTTATGCTGAATAATTAATTTTCTAAAACCAGGTCAAGCCCAAAAATAAATCCTTTTCATTATTATTTCTCCAGCCATTCAACAAACGCTAATTAAGAATCTCCGAGGGCTAGGCGCTGGGGATTAGAAGATTTAAATTGAAACAGTAATGATAGTTGGCATCAGCCTAGGGGTTGCAGGCTTCCTGTTCTCAGCACTTTGCACGTGTTACTGCACTTCAGTTTTACACACTTTAGTTACTTCTTGCTCCATTTTATGAAAAACAAACGGAAAGCCTAGAACGCTTAACCTTGCTGTGATTCAAAGGCTACATGAAGCGCTCGCACTTCTTGTAGACTCAGAGGAAACTACAATTTGCCTAGAACCCTTAACCTCCTTGCTGTGAATCAGAGGCTACAGGAAGTGTTCCGGCTTCTTGTAGACTCAGAGGAAACTGCAATTTGCCAAGAAAGGAAGCATTAGGGAGGCCTCCATTTCAAAACTCACTGGACCTGGGATTATGAGAACCGCTCAGAGGAGAGCTATGAACAGTGTCTTGGCCACGAGGGACAGGGATGCACTGAAGGGAAGGAAGGGCAGCTCCCAGAAAGGGAAGCTGAATCTTCACAGAGGGCTGGGACCAGGTATGTCTAAGGAGTTGTACTAGATCCTGAGATTTTTCTACCTGGCAAGATTCTCTCCTGAAGGAATCTAAAGATCTGCTGAGCTGCCAGCTGGGCCTCTGTTACTGTATGATGGGCATCTTGATCTGAATACTGTACCTCCCCCTTAGCGTCTTTCGGAGAGATGCACCCACTGACCTATGAATGCCATGACACCTCAGCTAAACATGTGCCCTCTCCCACCCTGCTCAGCTCCCTGGGCTGGCCTTCACACACGCTTTCTTGCCCAGTCTGACCAGCGGGAGGCTCTGGAAGACCATGAGCAGGTGGGAGGCAGAGGAGAGTTACCCAGAGACATCCTCCCGGTTGGGAATCCAGCGGTAGCAACCTGTCTGTGTGATCATTGCCGCACAGACACCCTTCTCTTTGAGACTGGATTCTCCTCCCTGGTTGCTGCAAGGGCCTATCAGAAGCCCTTCTAGAAACTGCCTTGACTAAAGAGTGGGAGCTGCCCTTCCCAGGAGATCCCCATCCAATCACTCTAGAGTGGAAGAATAAAGCCCGGTCGAATTGCCAGGACCTGAACCACCTCTCCATTCCCAGTTTCCATATTCCCAGCTGGAGGCAACTGAAGCCTTCTTAGATTGCAGTGAGCCTAGCCAGTCCTCCTGCCCTATCCGGCTCTCTCCCTGACAACCCTTGCCTGGCACCACTTCCTGTTTCTCATTTACAAATGAGTGAACCTCCTGGGGAGTGCAGCCCTGGGCACCCTCTCTCCATGGGCCCAAGCTCACCCCAAGGAGTCTGTCTCCTGGGAACAGGTGACACCACCTTGTCCTCCTAGGGTGACAGCAACTTCCTGATGTTAAATTCTGAGTCACCCTCAACACTATTTGTTCTGTTTTATTTCTGCTCTTCCAATACCTTTGGAACCAGTTCCCCACGTTAAATTCATTCTGCTGAACTTGTTGACCTGAATTCTGTTTCCTTGTCTAGCCCTTCTCTGCCAACCCCTGACTTAGTGCAAGACTATCTACTGGATTCGTACAATGAGCTTCTGAGCCATGAAACCACCCTTTCAGCCAACAGCAACACAGTAGGTACTGTGTGTTCGTACCTACTAAATGCTGGAGTTACAGGTATACACAAAGTAAGGGTGCCCTCTATTCCCTCTATCCTTTTTTTTTTCTCTCTTCCCCACAACTATAGAGGAACTCTTGAAGCCTGAACCTGATCGAATCAGGCCCTGGCCTATCGCTGAAGGACTCACAGAGAAAAATCTACATCCTGTACTAGAAAAGTAAGTAGGCCTTCATTCAGGTCCTAATTCCCTTTCAAGACTGCTCTTTCTCATTGCATGGTCTCTGTCCTGGCAGGGCCCCAAACATACTTGCCAATTCACACCTCTGCAGTTGTCCATAATGTTCCCTCCCACTAGGATCCTTCTTCCCCCTCTGCCAAGCTAATGAGCTCTTACTCATCCTGCAAAACACCTTCTATATTCTCCCAGCACCTGCAGTCAGGTATAAATGGTATCCTACTGCAATGAAGTCCCATTTCCTGTGACCCTTTCCACTGAACTGCATTCCCAAGAGAGAAGGGTCGAACCTCATTCACTCTAGTCCCATGCTCGAGGTCTGTCACAAAAGGGGGGTTCAGCAAGTGCCCATGGGATAAGAGTCACCCACGGGGCCTGCTGGTGATGAGAAACTGATGGGAAGAAACAACATCTGGACAGAGACGGGACTGGACACAGTTCAGAGTTAAACACCGAGTCCTGGAAGACGATAGGCTGGAGACAGCCCGAGAAAGCAGGAACTTTTTTGAAACTGTGCAGAAATGGGCTCACAGACCACTGGCAGAGCCTGTCATCCACTAGGACAAGGGAGTGAAGTCTTGATTTTGGTCCTGGGACTTTCCCTGCTGCCAAGTCTAGATGGAATTTCTCTCCGGCTTCTCAGGCACTGACCTGACAAGCCAACTGTTCTTTATGGACCTTGATTGCCTCACCTGTGAAAAGGGTATAAAAAAGACCTGCTTTTCTTTCCCTGCAAGGAAAACAAGTAGATATGAGCATGGAAAGTGCTTTGGGGTAATTGGCTTGTGCATGAATGTGACCAGGATTATGAGGGCTTGCCATAGCCCAGAATTCAAAAGAGCCTTTACATGAAAACCCAAGACAATGAATAAAAACTATTAGTCAATAGGATGCAAGCAGGAAGTTATTCTTCCTGGTTAAATGGTGATGTTGGCTCTATAACAATATCTACCACATGGTGTGACTTGCCAGCTCGTCCGGTACATTGGCAGTATGAGTTAGAAACCAGAATCATTGTTGTATCCGTGTGTGTGTGTGTGTGTGTGTGTGTGTGTGTGTGTGTGTGTGTCTGTTGTCTGTGTCTGTTGTCTGCATGTATCTCTGTGTGTTTATGTGTGTCTCTCTCTTTGGGTAGGTGTGTAGTGTAGAGGTGTGAGTGTGTGTCCTGAAGGCCTCAGCACCATGCTGAGTTGACACCTGATGCTCAGTACTGGTTGAGTTGGAGGGGAGGTTGACTTACCTCTGACTTTTCAGGAACTCATACATTGCACAACACGGGGAAACCTCTATTGATTTTTCTGGATGGGGCTGAGCTAATGAAGAGCTCAGGCCTAATTCATTCTGGTGAGTGCCAAGGTAGGTACATGGCAGCAGTGCTAGAGAGCTCTGTGTGTCCCCTCACTGCATTAATTAGGAACATGGTGCCACCTGAAGTCCCATTTTCACCTTCCTGCTTCTCTGCACACAGGGCTTCCCAGCCACACAGCAGATCTGGGTTGACACGTTACATCATCTGAACCCAAGTTCCAAAGAATGAATACAAAACTTTGGAACCTGTTGGAGGAAGACAATATTTCTGCTGGGACAGAAATAGACATGCGTTATATTGCTACCATGTATCAGACCCTTTCCAATTGTTTGAAGTGCAAAGGAACCTTAGAAAATATGACCGCCCTCAGGAACAGGCTAAGAGAAGCTCAGTAACCTGTAGCATCATGGATCTGGACTGTGGCCGTGATAGATGTAGACCCTGGGTGGCAGGCATGCTTTATTGTTTTGTTTTTTCCCCCTACTTTATATACCATTCCTCTCTCCAAATGAAGAAAAATTTAATTGTTTGTTTTGAGACCTTGTCTTACTATATTGTTTGGATTAGCCTTGAACTTCTGGGCTCACATGATCGTCCAGCCTCAGGCTCCTGAGACTATGAGTGTGGGACTATGAGTGTGCCCAACTAATGAAGAAGAATTCTGCCCAAACACTTCTTTTATGATGAGAGCAGAGATCTTCACAGCCCTTCCCTGGCTGTTGTAGGGAGTGGATGGTGGACAAGAGGACAAGCGGGACTTCTGATCTGTGACTAATTTTCTTACTGCCTGTGCTCCAGCCTTCAGCAAACAAGGGTCTCTGAGGCAGGCCCTGGATACCAAAGCTGGCATGTGCAAACTCCATTTGCATATACCCCATTGCCTATTGGCTCTTCCTCATCTTCCCACTGGCCCAGCAGGATACAGTGGTAGTGACAGCAGGTCACCTAAGGCCAGAGAAAGAGTCCCATGGCTGAGTGCGGTGGTTCATCTTATAATGACAACACTCTGGAGGCCGAGGCAGAAGCACAAATCCAGCCTGCTCTGTGATGGCCAGATATTTTCTCAAAAAGAAAATACAAAGCTGGGCGTGATGGGGTACACCTGTAATCCCAGCACTGGGGAGGCAGAGGCAGGCAGATCTCTGTAAGTTCAAGGCTAGCCTAGTCTACAACACAAGTCCAGGACAACCAAGGCTACACAAAAAAATCCTGTCTCAAAAAACAAAACAAACAAACAAACCAAATACTCAAACCAAAACCTCCTGG